CTCTTTCCAGGAAGAAGAAACGCTGTTTGATGAGGTTGTATCAGTTCTCGAAATTCCTTCCTGCATTACCAGAGAACAGTTCGAGCAGTCCCAATTGCAAAATAGCGCACAGCAACAAAGCAAAATCTATGTGCAATCGTCGTGGCCTGCACACAAATCGTTATCGGCCGAGCTTCAGCCATTCTTCAAAGTACGTGACGAACTTTCTGGGGTAGACAATCTTATCTTGCGTGGCGAACGGCTTGTGGTTCCCACTTCACTTGCGCAGCAGGTAATCGCTGCAGCACATGAGTCGCATCCCGGAGTGGGGCGAACAAAAGCGCGGCTGCGAGAAAAGTATTGGTGGCCGGGCATAGACCGCCAAGTCGAGCTAGCTATCCAGATGTGTAGCATATGCCAGGAAGCAGACAAGAGCGTCAAGGTGCGAGCTACACCCTTGCAACCGGTTTCCTTTCCAGAACAGCCGTGGCTCAAACTCGGCATGGATATTGTAGGCCCATTTGAGAGGGCGCCCTACGATTGCAGATATGCAATCACGCTTGTCGATTATTATTCCAAGTGGCCCGAAGTGCATTTCTGTAGCGAGACGACAACCAGCACAGTAATACGCTTTTTAGTCGCTGTGTTCGTGCGCGAAGGCCACCCAGAAGAGGTTATTTGCGACAACGGTCCACAGTTTGCATCTCGGGAGTTGGAGGTATTTCTTCAAGATCGCGGCATCCAGGTCAAACATTCGTGCGTATACTATCCACAAGCAAACGGCCAAGTGGAGCGCTTTAACAGAGTATTAAAAACCTTCATTCATGTGGCGGTTCTTGAGCAGCGACCTTTGCGCCAAGTGGTAACAGAGTATCTGGGTATTTACCGATGCACACCGCATGCTACAACGGCAAGGGCTCCAGCTCTTCTGATACACGGGCGGCTGCCTAGAACTCGGTTGTAGGTCGTCGGGCATCCGTCGGTAACCTTCTTTGACGACCCTAACTCAGAACTCCGGCGCTTACGTGAGCGGGTAAAGCAAAAGCAACAGAGCAGCAAATGATACACGGACGCTCGGAGGGATGCAAGAGAAACCAGAGTTCACGTTCGTGACTTCGTCAGAGTGAAGAAACCCACAACTAGATTTAAAGGCAACCTCGAATTCAGCCACCCAAGAGAAGTGATAACACAACAACGCAGGGTGCAACGACCAAGAAAGAGACTACCACCAGAGCATTATGGCTACTAGGTGTAGCAAGAGAAGTTGTGCTAAAGTGAATGAAACGGACGTATCCCGTGCGGTGAATTCCTTTTGTAAACTGTGTGATTTTGTTGTACTAAATAGTTACGTTCATTGTACAGGTTGTATTTTTGTATAGTGTTTTTTTTTGCGTATGTGCCAACACACTCAACTACTAAATCACTAATCTATATAGCTGTTTTTAAGGAAGGGAATGTGTTGTATATTGGTCTGTTTGGTTTCGGTTCCACGATCACTGCCGCTGGTGGCGCCAGTGTTGTTTATATATATATAAGCATGCGCAAGTTGGAATGAAGGGGCTTTTGTTGCGATGGTCACTCAAGTTGTCTAGTCGTTCATTCACCGGCGGCTCACGCCGCCACTACAGTAATATTTTGCAAAACCACTTCAATTCAGTATTTTTGAGCATAAACGATGTCTACTTCAAAGTCATTCTAACATGTGTGCACAAGCTGCCGAATGTCGACGTAAGTACGATGATATCACAAGTACGCGCACTCTGCCCAAGTACGATGATTTCTTGTATTTGCATTGTATTTTCTGCATCTCCAACTGACTGTCAAATTTATGGAAACAGCTTAGCGCATAAAATGGCGCTCTGTTGATGGTATGGTGTGAAGCAAAACGATTGAAATCACTTTTGAAGAAACTAGTAGCACGGCATCACCTCTGTATTACATCAGTATTGCAAGCCTGACTGTCTGATGTGATGTTTTCTTTATTCTGGGTGCTTTCGCAAGTTCGATTGCGTGAGGAAACATTATCTCACGCAAAAGCTGATGAAAAAAATTAAAAGAAAGGCAAAAAACTACAAGTGCGCATTTCATAGAGTGAGAAACAGTTTACTATTGCCATTCATTCTACCAAATCAAGGATGTATCCTAGCAGCTAAAAAGTAAATAAATACGTTTTAGAGCGAGCAACATGAAAAAAAAGGTGGTTACTTGTATGTGACAAAACATGCGCGATGCATCCCAGCTGTCTCAGCTGCATTTTGTATGGAGGCAGAAATGCTATAGACCCCTGTGCTCAGACTTGGGTTTACGTTAAAGAACCCTAGGTGGTCGAAATTTTCAGAGCCCTCCACTACGGCGTCTCTCATATTCATAAAGTGGTTTTGGGACGTTAAACCCCATATATCAATCAAAACATGCGCGATAACACCGTTTGCTACAAAACTACAAGCATGTGTCTGAAGTTTAATTGCGTTTGAATCAAGAAATGACCACTCCCACGATTATCACTGTGTCGCAGTCACTGCATTGTTATTCAACTAAGCTACGTAGCGCTCCAAAAAAATATGTAGCAATTTCTGAGAAAATGTCACCGTGACAGCCAGGTGGAACATGCAGAAAGTGATGGCACTGGCAAACATTCCCCTACAGTACCATGGCATTTCGAACCAGAAGTCAATGCAAATGGGCACCGCAGCCCACAATCCTTTGCGTGCGCCAGGATTTTGCTATCTACGTAATTTTAGCTACCGCTTGAACACGGGAACGTTGCATCTGTCAATCAACGACCTTTACCAAGACAGGCATATTTAGCGACTTCATCAGGTTTCATGATAAATATATTAAACAGCAAATTACGCACAGGCTGATACAAGTTCGTCAACGCATCAGAAACGACGACGAGCAGCGGATTTTCCAAAATAATCTGAGTTGTCAGTTTTGTCACTCAAAAATTGTATAAGAAGGAGTTGCCATGGGCTGGATAAGAATGGCGCTCTAATACCCCCGTCACTCGTGGCAATTTAAATGCACTTTGAGCCAGTGTGCTTACGCTCACGAAGTGTCATTTTGGGGGTGCGCTGCCACACGAAAAAGCGAAGTGTACTTTGGAAATGATGGCAGTGACGATTGATGAATTTGTAGCACAACATATATTTGTTATTTTAGCACCTGTGCCTCATCATCAGAGCACGCTGTCGTCGTGGAAGTAGCACCTGTGGCATACGCCATCTTAAATTACTAGTGAACAACTCACCTACACATGTGAAAGTTTGCCTGGAAGTTAACAACACGACGAACGCAGCCATTGCACAGCATGTCCGCTGAATCGCCCTAGCGTATGTGGCCGCAAACTGCCCAATGTTGAGAGTGGCGAGGTTTTTTGTTTTATTTTGAGACTTGTTTTATCACATAGCAGTATTCCTCATAACAAAAACAATGGTTTAAAATAGTAGCAGCGCTGCTTTAGGCAACAGCGTATTTCTGTACAAGCCACTGGTACCGAGGCTACACACTTCGTCGCAGCCGTCGCAGCGAAGTCAGGTTGGCGAACACACTTGCCGGCAAGTGTACTTTGCAGCAAGTGACACTAAGCTTTCTCATGTGACAGCGCGCAAATTACACTCACGGCGAAGTTTACTCGCTCAAAGTGCACTTAGGTTGCCAAGTGTGACAGGGGCCCTCTTGTACTCACAAGAGTAGCTAGTTTTAGGTCCAAGTGCTACAATGCAAGGAAGCCGCTTACAAGAACATGGTTATTGTAGATTATTAGAGCAGAATATTGAGATAATTGAAACCCTCAAATTGTGACCTAGAGCAAGGGAGCTCGGTCAAAACACACCCGCAAGAGAGAAGGCACGGACACAAGGCACCTGTGTGTCCGTATCTTCTCTCTTGTTGGTGTGTGTTGCCGCTGTTATGCCATCACTTCACAACAAACCAACTCGTCCCCCCCCCCCCCCCCCAAAAAAAATTTTCTTGAGATAACCTGCAGTCGCGCAGCAATACGAATGACCGCAATAACAAATTGGCGGCAATGCCTACGTGCATTCTCTTTCGCGGAAAGTTAGGTAACTGGCAACCAGCTATGGTGTTATTGTGCTGTTTTTTGCAACTATAGTAAATTGACACTGTGGGGGCTCAATTTAAAGGTACAGAGAAGCATTGTGAGCACAGGCTGCCTTATAAACCAAGTGACCAACATGGTTCCACGTAAAATCGCTGCTGTGTACATAACAAATTTATCCTGCGGCCATATATATATCAGGAAAACAGGTCGGTAAGTTTTTGAGTTATAAAAAGCACTGTATTGATTATAAAATCGATCGACTAGCTTTGACCAGCATCGTTTTCAGTGACAGAGGGTTCTATTTTTCTTGACACCAGAACATTGTCACAACAATAGCCACAAAAAATAAATGGCTGTGAAATTCGACAGCAAATCGTTGCGTTAGCCAGCCTTCCCGGGCGTTATTTTCAAAGAAATTTGTTTGGCTGATTAGGGGTGACTACAAGGCTCACAAAAGGCGGTGTTTCGTAAAGTGAGGAATCTATTGCTTTTATCAATTTGAAGGCGTGCTCACTTTAGGTCTTTTGCTTGAGAAAAAACCTGCCTTATTATACGAACCCAGTTGCTTCGTCAGTGCCATTTGTGCTCCTCTTTTGTTTCACCTTGTGTATAAAGCACTGTGCTACATTTATATCATTACCCTTAAGAGTAGGCTTCAGCATTCTCCACAATAAGTGTCCCTTTGAATAAAGCAGGCACGAGGCACTGCAGATGCTTATAAAGCGGCTTATTGAACTCTCAAACTTGAAGACTGATTGGAGCAGTCTGCCTACCACTCTTTTGTGTCCTCATTCACTTTTTTGGTTACGCTGAAAGTGCCGTCACCACTCAACGCATGAACGGGCTCCGAAGAGCTGCTCTCTAAAACGTTTTCCTCTAGCGAGCTATGAGGCGAAATGCACATATTGCAGTTTATTACATAGGGTTTTTTCATCTTTTTTCATGTTTACATACTTACCATCTACATATGGTTCAAATGTTAACAGAAGACACGTCGGCGTGGCTGTATGAACTTTGTATTGATGTTTCAGTTCAAATGGCAGGTCAATTTCTTTTGCTCTACTGTTCGCTAAAAGAATCATAAAAGAGAAAGCTTGTTGCAGCTTGACATGTCGGTATCACTAAATTACGGTACATACGAGGCCGTCGAAGAAATAGTAAGCACAAATTTGTTGTAAACCGCAATTTAACCCAAGAAACAAAGGATAACCCCACTATACGAAACCTATTTTACTTATGAATATGAAGATGACTTCGTGACTCCACACCACTTTCAGAAGCTAAATTTAACTATAGTCTGCTGGTATTTCTCATTCTAATCATACATCAGCTGCTTCAAAATGAGTGTGAAAATACTCATCAACAAAGGACGCTAGGGTGTGTGATAAGCAAAATTTCAATAAGTGGATCAGGTTGTTTTATATATCAGTGCTTCGAGGAGGAGTTTGCACGAGCAACACTTCCTTAAAGATGACAATGACAACATGACAATGACTTTATTTTCGCATCACTGCAGTGAATGATACGAAGGAGTGGGTGGAAAAAGCTGTCGTTCGCACAGCTCTACGAGGCCTCTAGGACCCTCATTGGCGCTTAACAGCAGCGATGCAGTAACAATAAATCAATATAATTCAGCAATATATAACACAAGACATATATATAAAAAGCAGAATAATGACTAACTTTACAAAATTGAAATTCTTTGCAGAGACAAAAAAGAGCTTATTATAATAACGTTCCTCACACGTGACCTAAATTATTGCAGAAAAGAAAAAAACATACGCGTGTGCAAGATTTAGAAGCGAGAGGCATCAGAAGAATCTTTTTGAGGAATTATCTGTCGTGAGTGCAAAGCAACAGTATAGTGCTTTAAAAGGCATGTTCTGTAATTGTAGTTATTCGCAAATTAGTCTATTTATTATTCTTCGTAAGTTATTTCAAAGTGTTAGTTTTCCATATGCACTGTTGGTATGTTTCAGTATTTCCTTTTACGTATTGCATATACAGGGCTGTTTTTTTTTTTGTAACCTGAAAAGGTGCCTAAGAAAATCTTAAATGGTTTTTAACTCTTGTTTATACGCCTTACATAAATTGTAATCATATAGTGTTGTGGCTGGAAGTATCCTATATTTTAAGAAAGACTCGAATGTGCGGAAAAGCTTAAGATATTTCAATTGTGCGTACGAACGTTTTTGAAGGACGTGTATTGTGTGTCGATTTCCTTGAGTAGTGGTGTCCCAAACAAAATTACAATAATTAAGTCTGGCTAGTGCGCTGAAGGGAGGGTTTTTTGGAAGCAGGTAGATGAGATTGCCTCTAAAACCTTGTAGCTCTGCCTCTAGAGGCCCCATTGTGGGTTATTTGGGAACCACGTTCGTTGCCCAGGTTCGTAAATAAGGTACATGCCTCTCTAACTGCCATGTTCGAAAAATCGCGAATTTGCACAAATTTAGAATTTCAATTCCACATTTCTCTTCCTGAAAATAGTGTACATCTTCAGATGAACACACGTTTGTGTTTGCATGTATGTGCGCATAGACAGTGCGTGTTATTTTTACCTAATAGAGAGTTGATAAGGTTTGCATAATAAACATATATTAAGGTACTGCTGAAGACATAGAACAAAATGCCTAAGAAGCCAAGCAGGCGTTCATTGGAAGCACTTGTGGGCAATGAAACCAGAAGAAGTTTGTTTCCTTAAACGTTGATGGTTCTTTTTTATGATGCACTAATGACTACCAACCTAGAAATGCTTACAAGTGGGTAGTAATGTGCCCGAAGAAGGAAGAGCTTAAGAAAACCGTTCGAGTGCTCCGTTTTGAAAGTGATTCGAACATCCTAGTTGTATGGCGGATTAAGGTGCCCCTTCCAGATTTACGAAAGTTCTAATGTGCTATCACTGTTCCCAATAGAAAAATCAGCGATTTTGCGTCACGGTGCAATTAAGCTTCTTGGATGACTAGCAAGTTCCGTGTATGTTGCACGAAACACATTTCGAAAACATTTGTGTTCGAAACAAGCCATGTCATTCTTAATCATTACACCTGAAAAGCAGTGAGCTGTGTTTTCACTGGCTTGTGCTAATGATCAAATGCGATCACGTGAAGGCTGTTACGACATGTCTAAAACAGCTCACGCTCGAATCAATCAGATGTTTATCTCAACGTTCAAGCCCATAAAACTGAACTGCAGAAATAATGGCATAGTTGATTAAATCGTATAGCGCTCGTAATGTCTTATGGGGCTCTATGATGTAGACCTCTTTGGGGCACGGTATAAGAAACAAAAGTTCAGAAGCGGTGCGATGACTTTTGCGATAATTGAAGTATGAAGGCAATGTTACTACCAGCTGACTACAGGTGACTCTTTCTCTCCCAAGGATGATTCTTTAGAGATGACTAAACAACCTAGATACAGTTTTATACTGAGATTAAGGGACTGATTGTCCATTGACTTAACCAGGGAGAGGCACACCGTGCGCCTGCCTCTCCTAGTATACCTCTAGTACAGCGCTGAAGATGTAATTTCACCCCTGATAAACCTTTTCAGCACCATTTTTTTTTACTTCTAATCATCTCCCCTTGCCTTTTCATCCAGCATCGAATTATATTTCTGTCCGTATCCAATGCTTTTGTGAGAACTACTTGTTAATCAACGTCCACCTACACCATATCAAGCTGAACACTCGAATTATAACTTCTCCTTAACATACCATAAAACTGTAGCTCCCCCGTTGTGCTGAAGCGTGTCAGCGCAGCGGTGCTTTACAGCATACATGCAATCTGTTCCACTGACGTAAACATATTGCTACTGAACGAAAGAAGCAAGCACTTACATTCTTCAAGAAGCCAAATGGAAATTATTGTACCGTCCTGTCTTTTCGCTTCGATGTCAAGATTCCTAGTTCTATGAAATAGGTGAATAAAATAAAAGCTTGTTACGACACTGTGTGCATCGCTAGGTGCCCTTACTTTTTTATGTGCTTGAACTTCATTCACGAAAACTGTGCTCCGACCTCTAGGCACACGCTGCGCCCCATTGTGTTGGAAAAGTGTATTCTAGATTCTAACAGCACATCAGGCAAGAGTTGCAAAGATTCATATGTGGGGTGTAATGTCCTTAAACCTCGGTGGCAAAGAATGCACACACAGTTCCTTGCTTTTTCTTGTTTTTCTGTACTCCTAGTCTGTTGCGCTTTTACATTCTTTATGTCCTATGAACATGATCAATTGTTCATACTTAATATCGTTGACTGTGAGACCCTATTACAAAAATATTTCGTGGAAGACACGCGTCGTCGAGCTCTTTTTGGTGTCCACGCAAGTACCAGAGCAAACGCTACAATTTTTTATCAATCATGCATAGAGACGGCTTATTTGGTGATAATAGGTTACTGAAGGCTGATAAGTGTACGTGCTGCTATCAGTGGACACATGCATGGCTTTTACCGTGAACCTACTTACTAGAGACAAGATACCCAATAAAACTATACAAAATTACCAGTCTTACTACAGTCTTCCTGAACATCACGGCCGTGTAAAATGTACGTAGTAAAGATACCGGACGCATAACGTTCAAAAAACCTGAAGCGACAAGCAAGTTCTATCAGGGTTGAAGACACCACTACAATCCCAAACTGATTCTAGATGTTTATATAGTCCGCGAGTTTAACTACGAATAAATTTCATAACGTTATGTCAGTTCATCATTGTGTTTTTGGTTGAGCTTTGCGTCCTATGACAGCTTCTCTTTAAGAAAGTGACTTAAAGTACCGTGATCGGAGTGATATGGGCCTCCCACGTGTCTGATTTCATGCCATGAAATTCGCTTTCACCCTCGTGCTAAGCAAAGCAGTACTTTTTTTCGCTACCTGAAACAACGGCGGTAATCGGTCAGAAGTGTAGTGCAGCAATTTGACAATCACTGCCTAACCATTCCGTTCAGGTGGTTAACTGCGGCCAACTTCGGTTGAAAACGTCGCCGCCAAAGTAAAAACTCCTTCCGAAAGCAGGGGTCGGCTCCGACGAACGCGCTTCTTTCATTGCTTAGTTGACGCTGCTCTGCTCACAACGCCGTTTCCTAGGCTCAGCGTTGTGACATGAATTTAGTATCTTGATTTAGCTGGGAGTCGTGATTAGAAGCATCAGCCCGCCATTGGAACTTGGGTTCCTCTTCGCGATTTACCGCGGCTTGTAAAGTATTATTTCCGGCCATGCCTAGCAATCTCATAAAAAATACGGATAGGATAAATGATGTGTAAGAGGAATTCTACAGAGAGCTGTACCGAAACCAAAACAACCAGGATGATATCGTAAGAAGCAATAATAGCCCAGAGCAATTCGAAATCTTACCAGTAATAACAGGTGAAGAAATTAGGAATGCCCTAGAAGAAATGTAAAGTGGCAACGCCACTGGTGAAGTTAAGGTAACAACAGACCTGCTGGAATATGGCAGAAAAATTGTGTTAGAAAAATTGCCAACTTTATATACAAAGTGTCTCTTGACGGGAAGGGCCCCAGAATCTTAGAATAACGCCCAACATCATCTCCGCAAGAAGGAGACGTCAAACACTTGAAAAATTACCGACCGATTAGCTTACTGTCCGTTCTCTACAAACTATTTACAAAAAGTAATAGATTCTAGAATGAAGGCGACATTGGAGCTAAATAGTCCAAATGATCAAGCATAATTACATACAGGCTACTCCACAATAGAGCATTTTTATACCATCAATCAGGTAATAGAGAAATGCACATAATACAACCAACCCCTATAAATAACTTTCTTAGAATACGAGAAGGTGTTTGAGTCAGTCAAGACATCAGCAGAAATAAAGGCCCTACTAAATAGGCGCATCGATGAACCATACTTAAAATTACTGGAAGAAATCTACAGTGGATCCACAGCCACCAAAGTTCTCATCAAAACGCTACAGAATCCCAGTAAAGAAGGGTGTAAGCAGACAGACCTGATCTCTCCAATGGTATTCATAGCGTGTTTACAGAATGTTCTTAGAGCCCTAAGTTAAGAACAGTTAGGGATAAGAGCTAATAGAGAGCATCTTAGTAACCTGCGATTCGCTGATGACATTGCCTTGAAGAGTAAGTCAGGGGACGAATTACAGCTCATAATTACTTAACTGGACACGGAGAGCAGAAGAGTAGGTATAAAAAATATGCACAAAACTATAGTATACTGTCCAACAGTCTCGGCAGAAAAGAGGCCTTTGCGATAGGTGGACAAACGCTTGACGTTTTAAAGGAATATGTCTACTTAGGACGTAGAACGTAGGCAGGATAACCGCTTGTCATCAAAGGTAATTGACTGGATTCCCAGAGAAGGCAAACGCATGAAGGGGGGCAGAAGGTTCGTTGGGCCTATGAGATTAGGGGGTTCGCAGGTATAACGTGGCAGCAGAAAGCAGACAACCGGGCTGATTTGTCGAATCATGGGAGAGACCTTTGCCCTGCAGTGTGCGTAGGCAGGCCGTTGGTGATGATAATGATGATGATGATGATGATGATGATGATGACGGAAGGCTGCAGTGTCGTGAGTACAATTCTTCGAAATTTGTCTATTGTTACGGTGTTCACAGGATCCTATAAATGTGGAAGCGTTAACTTGAATACTCCTGTGGCGCCGAACTCTTCACGTGACCTTGAGCTTGTCTTGTGATGCTTGTTTACATCCCCCATTTGCCTGTCGACTTGTTTGATAGCTTTCCTTAGGTGAGAAGCTCTGCGCCCTAGTGAATGGTGGGGCCCAATTACCTCCTTCCCCATTACTCCTTCCCATCTTTTTACAAATTTTTTCTCTACCCTTACCCATGTATGTGCAGTGCTGTTGAGATGATCTCCATGGAGAAACGGCACGCTCTATTTTTTTCTTTTTTTTTCTCTTTCAAAGCCACTCCGTTAAACCGATGTGCGCGTGCTCGGTGGAGCGGCTGCGGATAGTTGAACGATATCGCTCACAACGCTTCAGTGGCGCGCGTTTGGGCCCAACGTCGAGCATGACGTAAAAATGAGGGATTTTCTCGCTAATATTGTCGAACATTGGTGCAGTGAAGCTCATTCATACTCAACACGTCGTACTGCAGTCAGAGATACACAACGGCGGCAGCGATTGTATCCAGCGTGCTTGGCAGAAAAAGTGGCTGCCCAAAAACGATGACCCCAGGTATTTAATGGCCACAAGGCCTGCCACTCCTATTGTGCTGAAATTACTGTCCTATGACCACAAAATATAATACTGTGGAAGTACTGTGGGCTCCTTTTCTTTTGTTAGGCACTATATAAAAGGCCAAGCCCGCTATCAAGAAAACATCTGTGATTCAAAAACAGATAATAAACTGAGCATGTGTCTCACACGCTAAGAAAGGCCTATTTGTGTGAACCCACATTATATTAGACTTGGCGCTGCCGGTATATTCTATAATTACGTACCCATCACAATAATAAGTAACTCTGATAAGAATCTGCCGAAAGGAATTCTGTTTTTCAAAAGATATCTTATATATGTGGCTGCTGGGACAAAACTGTAAACCACTGCAAAATTACGCGCACAGCTTAAGTGGCTGTGTCATTTATTGTGTTCTCCGATTTCTTAATTATGATTATATAAAAAACATTACCTTTTTACATCATAAATATTTCCTCGCAGCAATTTTGCTATTCAAAAAGAGATCATTAAACTAAACATGTGACAGGCGCACCTTCAAGGACCTATTTGTGTGCACCCGCATGCAAGTACACGTAGCGGAGCTGGCTTTTTGTCAATTTACTTCACCACTATTATCACCGAAATATGCAACATTTAGACAAATCAATCGAAAGGGCTTCAGTATTTTGATTGCCATCTGATATATGTGGCCATGAAGACATAACTTTAACAACTGCAAAACTGCGCGGATGGCATACCTGTCTCGATTATTGTATTGTCAAGAACACCTCAACTTATAACTGCAATTGTGCCGCATGAATCTGCTGAAGCACAATACTCAGACAACTACACGTGCAGTGATCTGTACTCGATTATGTAGTGAAATATTTTTTGCATTGTAGATGTCCCACTTCAGTATGAACTGCATAGTTTTAAACTTGTTTGACAGTATGCCGTCAACTTCTTCTAATATATTTTATTATGGCCATTTATTCTTAATATTTGCGATGGGCTATAATATATCCGAGTGCCATCCTCGTTTATGTTGACCCCTGTTGCCCATGACCTGCATTTGAGGACATGTCTGCGTGTCCCCATGTCTCGTCGGTGACAGCGGTAGCCTGGTGTAACTGCATTTTAATTTAAAAAAAAATTATGGCATATTCACGGGGTGAATGATGATGAATGGGCGAAGCTCCGGAGGGATTCATCGGTAAACTGTGAATCTTCCGTGTAATTCGCCCAGTCGATCATCATGTAAAGACGTGAGAAACGCTGTGTGTGTATATACACAAATCAACTTTTATTTGTTCTTAGACGATGGATGGCTTGCGATGTCCCTTGCCTCGCGCGCTCGCACATCGGGATTCTGTCTGCGAGCGCGCGCTGCTGCCGCCTTGCGCTCTCTCCGCTGTGCAGCCTTATCCATCCGGCGACTCCGAGCGCGCGCCAACAGCGAACGGATTTTATTACAACGCTCCCCCTAGCGTACGTCGCCGCACTAAATCGAACGATTGCCTTCAACCAATGACACGCGCCATATGTGACATCATTCCTATTTTATAAGATCTCGCGTCTTTCTTCAACTACAAGCACCGCTTTCTAGTTTATAACATCTTGCATCTTTTCATCATCAGCTACAAGTACCACCATCTAGTAAACACTACAAGAACTAAACGAGAGGTGGCTACATACAGGAGACGGTACCGCCATCTAGTGAACACTGCAAGAACTAAACTAGAGGTGGCTACATACAGGGGACGGTACCGCCATCTAGTGAACACTGCAAGAACTAAACTAGAGGTGGCTACATACAGGCTACAGGGGACGCACAGCCCACGCCCTAAGGAGCTTCGCCCCTAAAAAACAATTTGATCTGACAAAAAACTAGTTACCAAAAAAAAAACTTCCGCCTATATAGTGACGGGAACTACAGGCACATTTTTGTAGAATTACACAATTATACTACAAACAAATTTGAGAATTTTTTTATATTCTCAAATCGGGCACCATGTGTTTCCCGTGAGTGGTATCGAAATTTCCTGGTAAGCCACATGTACAATGGTGCGATACTCAATGTTAGCATAATCCTGTAAAATGTACCGGCAGCAGATGACTGGTAGTTGTGTTTCATATTTAGTATACTTCTTTCAATATGATATTCGTTTTAGTATACTTCAGATTAAAATAAGGCACGACGCTTTTACCACCGCCGAGAAATGGCATCACGTACGACAAATTCACAGCAATTACAAAAAATTGGTTGTGTTTAATTATATCTGGGTGATCATCTGTATGCCATATGCACATAATTTGGTGGAAATTAAACTATGTACTCGCAATAAAGAGACTGGGACACGGTAATTGACCACGGAAGTTGCTTTCGTTTCGATTGTCGAAGTAGAGGCCATGACATATTCAAAAACTTACTTTGTGCACCCTTAAAACACTCCAGCTGATAAAGAAGTCATCAAAATTTTGTATGGCGAGAAAATATAATAATAAAAATTGGCGTCTTACTTACATTTTTAGCATTCTCTCCATACCAACTCTGCAAGAAAGAAAGGTATAATATTCGGGCCCTGACTTACATTAAAATACCAACTACAATTTTCTTGCAATAGTCATGTCTCCTTATATATGCTTTTCCTAACATATGGTGCCAATAAGGAGCGCACTGCTGACTCTATGCAGAAAAGAAGTTACTCATCATGACCGTGTTTGTTAGCTAAAGCGTTTCAATGCGCGCGGCGTTTTATGGCAACCTAAAGTTATGGCAAACTGAGCGAAAGAGAATAATTTTATGCCGGCACCTGAAATTCCACGCCGAGTGACTTGCTCTGAGATCTGAGAGGTGGACAAGCATTGGAACATTTCTGCCTATCACTCGCGCCGTTTCGGCGGATCCTATATGAATACAGTGCAAAAAAAGTGTGCGTATGAGTAGCATTCTAAAGTTTCATTCTTTAAAACGCCTTAAGAGAAATACAGTGTGTAGAATTGATATGTCTCATACTGTAGGCTATCCCAGTGAACATACTATTCTCTAAAAATGCTTACCGTTTTATGAGGCAGCATCCATGGTCATTCACATTGCACTTTCATACTACGAAACTTCAAAGAAACTTCAAAAGCTGATGTTATCATGAAGGAGAGTTTATGGCAGGCTGCGGGTGATTTTGACCATCTCTGACTCTTCAGCACGTACGGACATTCAACTGAACGGTTGCGTTGCTTCTTACATCATTTCAAATGCTTCTTCTAGAATTGAGGACGGCCTAGCTGCTTTGTTCGTCGGTAACGAGGCACTGTGAATGCAGTGCACTACCACTGTGGCTGAAACGTTGGTGAGTGCTACTAAAATAAATACAGATGCTGAGCAAACACTACTATCTTAGAATTATTTACATATATCACCTATACCAAGAAGTATAGCATCATCAAAACCATCGGTAAAATAAAAGAAAACGGCCGTTTGAAGCCACTATGGACACGGTTGAAAAAAAACTCATTTGTGACATGCGGACGCCACCGGGTGAGAGTGAATATGAATTAGGTTTATTGAAATATGCGTAAACGAGGAAGTACGTCAAGAACTTCAGGTAACCACAATTGCTCTTGACCAACTTCTGTTTTTCAATATTAACATGAACGATGGCCGTCCACTCAATGAGCTTCCCAGCCTGCGTTAAGTTGTCAATGTTAGACTTTCAATTTTACAGTGGCGATTGGAAACAATAAACCGCAGAGCACAGTCAAACACAGGAATACGGTGGGCACAAAACGACATGATTGCACACTAACCAATGCATACCTTGCATGGGCAAAATAACCCGATGTTGTATTTCATCATGACTGTGGCATATAGAGAGGCTGACTTGTGGTGGAGTGGGTGAGAGGTAAGCGGTGCTGGTGGCAGAGTAGTGGGCTAGTACTTGCCACAGAGCTAGAGGACCTATGAAGGCCTAACGTGAAATAAAAAATAAAATAGGCCTAATCTTGCACGCCCACCCTGGCATCGTGAAGGAGTTAGGAGTAGTTGGCAAAATACTACAATGTCACGTGATTACGAACAAAACACAACATCTCTTCACAAGAGCACCGGACTTCGAGCCTAACCGATCACCAGAGACACAAGCTCATCATCCAATCTTCTTTTTTGTCCTTACTGATTTCACCCCAAGGTACATACACATAGTGGCATAGCCCAATCTCATTCCATGCCCATGGCATCACTACCTTTGAAAAAAAAAAACAGAACATCGCGATGCTCAATGCTGAATAGAAGAAAGAGTAGTTGCGCACACGCACAAACACGCATGGTGCTGCAGTGTTAAGTTGTTCGGGGGTAATGTGGCTTCAATATCGATACATGAACAATGTCCATCTCCTTGGAACAATGGGATCACTGGGGTGTTTCTTCAAGCTGAACTTCGTAGTTGACGTCTCTCAGGCAACGTAAAACTGTAGGGACAGAAGTATTGGTAGAGTAACGTTTCCGAGTGGCCCCTTTGACGAATCGGAATCCAGAGCCACACTACATCCCGTGTTGGTGAATCAAATGGCGATGACGAGAATTGTACCTCTGCGAGTTGATTCATTTTTGTTTTAGGGGCGAAGCTCCTTATGGTGTGGCTTGTGCGTCTCCTGTTGTCGTTGTGCTTAACCACCGGTACGGCACTTACCCGAGAGAGCGGGTATGTGCCACAGGAGATGGATGGGTTTGTGCCACAGGGGAAGGAGTTAGATGATCGCGATGAAAGATGCGAGATTGCGGTACTTGGAGTGTTCACTAGATGGCCGGATGGACGCATGAATGGACAGACAGACAAGCAGACGAACGAATGGACAAACGTGCGGAAGGACGGCCGCGCGAATGAATGGACGGACGCACAATCGGATGGACGCTGGGACAGACGCACGAATGGATGGATGCACAAACGGGCGGAAAGATGTACAGATGGACGGATGTATGCATAGATGGAAGGACGGATGCACAGATGGATAAATGTATGGTTGGATGGACGCATGGACAGACGGACGAACACATGCATGGTCGCACGGACGAAAGCGTGGACGGACTTATGGACGTTTTGCACCACTCATCATCATACACTGCATGTACATGCCGTGATTTCTTTTAATCCGCTCGGCTTCAAGCTTGCGGGCCGCGTCTGCGAGCCGGATGAAGTCATTCGCATCAGTAGTAGTGTAGTTCATATCAGGTAAGAGCGTGGTATCCAGCATCATAACTGCTTCTCTGCCGTGAGGCAACCGAAAAGAGGTGAACCCTGTGGTATCTTGAACCGCAGTGTTTAGGCGAACGTGATGTATGGCAGAACGCCATCTCAGGTCTTGTAATTGCAATTAACGTACATGAAGAGCTTCTCAGCGATGGTCTTAGTTAATATCTATGCCAGATTGCTGGTTTGTGAATGGTATGCGGTTGTTTTGCGATAAGTGGTTTTGCTAAGCTTCATGGTTGTACGATGGACAGTGATGACAACTGTTGGCGCTCTATGGCGGAGGAAGATGTTGTTAATAAAAAAGTACGAACCCTCCTTCGTGGTGCCTCCTTGTAGGACTTTCGTTTCGCATTACTTGGTGGAATAGTCAGTAGTGACTACAGTAAAGCGGTTACCATCATGTGACTTCAGAAAGGGCCCGAGAAATTCCATGCCGATTTGTTGGAAGGGTTGTGATGGTGCACCACTGGCTTTTAAAAACCAGTGGGGCGTACAGAGTGGGGGGGGAGGGGAGGGGGGCTTTACGGCACTTGCAATCGTTACTTGTTTTAACATAATGCTTGATACTTTGGATGATATTTGGCCAGTAGTAGTGAGTAAGAATCCGGGCAAGGGTACGTGTCAATCTCAAATGGTGTGACAAAAGCTCGTCGTTGCAGGCAGATATAATGTCAGCACGTAGTCCTGGTGTAACGACTAGCAGGTATTCAGTCGCATAAGGTTCGAAGTTCTTTTTGTAGAGAATTCTGTTACGGAGACAAAATGAGCCTGAACGCGCAAATACCCGTGGTGGACTTGAGCTATGGCCTTCAAGGTATCTGATGAGCTGTCGACGCTCTGAATCATTCCGCTGTTGTTCGGCCAAGTCAGGTTCACTGAACGTGCCAAGAAAATTGCCGTCAGTGTCACCATCGCTCGATTTCGTTGCAAGTGGAGCACGCGAAAGGCAATTGGCATCAATGCGCCCGCGGCATGACCGGCAGATGACTGTTAGAAGAAATTCTTGAAGGCGCAAGCTCCCTCTCGCGAGGCATCCCAAGAGGTCTTTGAGATTGGCCAGCCAAACAGGGCATGATGATCTGTAATGAATCAGAACGAACTGCCATACAGAGAGGATTCTATGGTGGAAATTTTGATATTTCCCAAATAACATTAGGCCTTCCTTCTCCGTGGTCAAGTGGTTAACTTCCGCAGATGACAGAATGCGACTAGCATAAGCGATGGGACGCTTGACGCTATCTTGCCACTGGAGAATAACTGCACCAAGGCTGATGTCGCTTGCGTCAATAGGCACTTTTTTGGCGGAATTTTTATCAAAGTGCCCTAGTACGGTGTCCATCATCCTTTGAAACGTTGCCGGTGCAGAGAACAATCCAAATGGTCGCACTTTTAATTTGTGGAGGCCATCGGGAGTTACGAACGCTGTGTTTTCCCTGTCGCATTCATCGACCACGATCTGCCAGTAGCCGCTGAGAAAATAGATTGATGAAAAATATTGGGCATGTCGAAGTCGATCCAGTGAGTCATCTATGTGTGGGAGAGGGTAGACGCCTTTCTTCGTCACTTTGTTGATTTTTTGGTAATCCACGCAAAGTCGAAGAGTGCCGTCCTTCTTTTTAACAAGTATGACGGCGACGCCCATGGACTATTCGAGAGTTGGATGACGTCGCCGTCGAACATCTGCTTCACCTGACAACGTATCACCTCTTGTTCGTTTTGCGACACGCGGTAGGCGTGCTGTAATACAGACCGTCCAGTGTGGTCCGTTATAATGCAGTTCTTCACGGTTGGGGTTTGCGTGGTTTTTGAAGCGGATGCAATACATTCACTAAACGCATAGCGAAAGATACTATATAAAGAGTGGCCACTCGAGCTTTTTCGTGGCCCAGCAAGAAAGGGTCTGACCAACCGTTAGATGGCGTACCCGTGCTCGCTTTTACTTCTTTTTCAAGACATGTATTAGCCACTTCGGAAGGACAATAAAAACCCAAGATCGGCATCAAATTTCTGCAAAGAAAATCTATTGATTTGTGTATTTTTCATACCCGCTCTACACATTGTCCCTCGGAGGAATTCAATGCTTTGCAAAAAAAAATCCGTAAAATCTGACTAGAAAGTGTTGTCTTTCTGTATGTGTTTTGCGCAAAGCCCGCAAAATTATGTGGTTTAGATGCACTATACAATTAATAAGTTTGTGGACGCATTGGTGTGTAGCCTAGTGATAAAGACACTCGTTTTCGGTTCATGAGGGTACGGCTACGGTTCATGAGGGTACGGCTCTTCTCCCTATTTACTGGTCCATGGC